AGGATATTCGACTGAATTGCATTTCCACCACACAAGAATGTCAAAGTTAGGATCCCTTTTAACACACTTACTAGAACTATACCCCTCAAGCTCATTTTTTTGATCAATCGAGTTTTGTTCCTCTAAATGTTGCTCAAAAGCATAAGCTCTAGCCATAATGGATGAACGGGCAGCACCTACAGTTGTTTCGTCATTGGAGACATTATTTCCACCACTACCAAAAGGGTGTGTGGAATTATGTTTTTGGTCATAAGCTTGCTTATACCAATCATACAACTTCTGTAAATCCGCTTTTATAGATTTTACCAAGTCATTACCAAACTTCGATCCAACTCCGTACATGTCCTTAAACGTCCACTCAATGTAACTCAACTTGTATCTTGGATCAAGAATAATACCAAAATATATCATCTTATTCATCTTATCAGCATTCCTCCAATATCTATTATACTTTTCCATCATATCTCCACCTACACTTGCAAAAACATCATTTAAGTTCATTGTAGCTTGTTTCAACTCACAATAAATGGCAGACACTTGGTGAAAATAAGTATGCAGACTCACACTTTGAGAGGTGGAAAAAATCTTAGTTGCTTCGTAGAATAACTTTAGAAAAGCACCAAAAGCCCTAGCAGTGTCCCAATCATCACTACTAGGGGGATTACCTTTTTCAAAGAACTCCTTATAACTCGACTCTTCATCCTCAAGCTTTTCAAAAGCGAGTTGAAACTACTCTGCAGCCTCTAGCATTAAATATGTCGCGTTCCAACGAGTTGAAACATCAAGACATACTAATTTTTTGCAAGTTATCCTAGAAAATTCAATGCATTCTTTAAACTTGGCTGCCATATGAGGTGAGGACTTAACAAATCCAACAACATCCCCAACACTAGTAACAGATAAATGTTTATCTTTCAAACCCTCATTTACCACCAAGTTTAAAATGTGAGCAGAACACCTCATATGAAAACACTCTCCATCCCCCATCAACCCATTCATATTTGCAACCTTTTTTTTAGATATGTCACAACAACATCATTGGAAGTGGCATTATCAACAGTTATGGTTGACACATTTCTGATTCCCCAATCCCTCAACACTTCTTCAATCTTCCTACCAACAGTTTCACCCTTGTGGTTTGGAATTACGACGAAGCTTATAATTCTTTTTTGATACTTTCAATCGTTATCCACAAAGTGTGTCGTAAGGGTCAAGTAATTGTGATTTTGTATAGAAGTCCAACAATCAGTAGTAAGTGCTACCCTATTGTAGTCAGACTTAAAAAAGGCCTTTAACTTTTGTTTTTCATCCAAGTGTAGCTGAAAACAGTCCCTAGCTACCGTACACCTAGATGGGATGGTAAATTGGGGCTGCATTACTTTGGAATAAAATTTAAACCCTTCACCCTCTACTGCACTAAATGGCTACTCATCTAGAACTACAAAAACATACAACGCACTTCTACAAGCTTTCTTGTCAAACCTAGAGCTAACTTAAACCAAGTTACCATCTATAGTTGGGTATGTTAGAATAGTTTGTGTGGGGTCAGTTGACACAACAAGGGGCTTCTTAGGACATTTTAAAATATGATGGTTCAGGTTGGTGGTGTCGTGAGTCCTAGGGTCACACAAGTATTTTTTATGGCAGTGTTTGCAGGCTACAGTGGGTGCATTAACAAGGTCATTAGGTAATCTAACAAAGTGTTCCCAGCAAGCAGATGATTGCCTAGAACCACTTGCACTAGATTTCCTCTTTTTTGTAGGCTGTGTAGTTGAACCTACTTCATTAACATGTGGATTTTGATTAGGCTCACCAGTCACTGAAATAATGAAGGAGCCATTATCAAAAACTACCAATCAACGTTCCAATTCAATTAAAAAATATGATCAAAATCATATTTATAAACACGTTGCATACACTTAAAATCATACTAGAACATACTGTGTACTGTAAAGAAATTACCTTGATCCATTCCACTTGGTTAAAGAAATTGTGTACTGTAAAACACAAACTAGTTAAATTCTTTAAGTTATAGAGGCATCAAAATAGATAAAATTGTGTACTGTAAAACAAATAGAACAAGAGAGAAAACAATACAAAACAAAAACAATCCAAAAAATTCTTCAAACCTTTACCTCTCCCTATCACCCAAAAGATGTCAACCTCGATTCAAATTTCCATTCAAACATTTAGATATCCCTATCATAAAAAAGATCACATCTTTAGTAAGAAACAAATAGAAAACACAAGTCACAAAATCATACAAAATAAAACAATCCAAAGAAAGTGTTCAAACCTTTAGCTGAAAAAGTCTTCAAACCTTCGATGTCACTTTCGAGTCAAACTTCCAAAAGTCTTCAAACCTTCATAAGAAACAGCAAAGATATGAGTCAGAAGAGAAATGAAAGACATTAATGGAAGATATGAGACAAAGATGTGAGTTAGAACTTCAGAAGAGAAACAGTGAGGGACAGTTGCGATTGATGAGAATAGGTTGAGGGACGGTGGTGAATAATGAGAAGAGGGTGAGAGATAGTGGTGATCGGTAAGAAGAGGGTGAGGGAAACTGAAGGTGTGTTAGGATTTTCTTTACAAGTTAGAGAGAAAAGCGAGATATGAAATGAAAGTTTAATGCTAGCCGTAGCTCAGTATTACCCTTTCATTCGGGCGGGTCAGGGTACCTGCGGTTCAGCTTTTAGTACCCGGCCCACCCATATCAACCCTCTTAAAACTAGATATATCAACCGCTTGGCCCAATGGACCGATTGAACCCGCCCAATTTCAAAAAAAAATCGGTTTTAAGTGGGTTGGGTCGGGTAGGCGGTTTCTGTCCACCCCTAGTTATATTAGTGAAAGTCCCAATAAAAACGACACAAGAATTCTCGACCTATGAAGTGACGTCTGGGTGCTACATTGACCAGGTATGTAGGCTTGCATTCCTGATAAGGCACGTGCACAATACTACTATTCTTACACCAATTATGCAGACTGAGTTATATCACAACTCTCTGAAAAATACGTAGTCAGCAACCTCCCCAGACATGGGGAGTAATTACCATATTTTATGGTTTTCTAAATCTTAGGCCCAAGGATTTCTATAAATATTTCTCCCCTAACATGAGAGGGAGAGATCATAACATATAAAGTTCATTCATACGCTAAACACAACTTCTACATACAGAGCCTCTCACCTTACGTGAGTTGATTCTCTCATACCACCGTAAACACCACCATAGAGAGCTTCTCGTCACCACAGGTAAGCCCTAACCACCCTAACTTTTATAAACTTATTAAAGCCTCTGAATATCACCTACATTTAGAAAACAAACATTCACATTAAATATTTTAGACTACTAGAGTTTACAAGAGTCATTTTTATTTTATGTACACGACATTATCTTTCAATAACTTTGCATAATTGTAGGTTTGTCTAGTTGAGTTATAAAATCAACATCTTTATGTACACTTATGTTTCAGTAACTTGACATATAAGATTTTTCTAGTTGAGTTATTGTTATAAATGTGCCTTAAAAACCTTTGTTGATGAAGAGAAAGAAAACATATTTTAGAGATTGCATTTACCGCGAAAATCGGAAGTTTTAGAAAGTCGGAAAAAAAATCGGTCGGTGAATAGTGCTATCCGTACAAATGAATAGTGTGTCCGTACGATGGATAATATTTTTGAGTTTTCGGGCCTTTTCGATTCGGTCCATGGATCCATGTGATTTTGCACTTTGTTTGTTGAGTATTTGCTATTATAAATATGTATCTCTTATATGTTTGGTGTGTGACAATCTTAGAGTTTTCACCAACAAGGGAGACAAAGGGTTTACAGGTATAGCAGAAGGCTATTTTCTTGTAACTTATATGTAATTTCTTGTAACAACTTTCTAAGTATAGTGAATTGAAGAACTGATCTCTCCTCCAGAGTAGATCGTTTGATCGAACTAGGTAAACAAACCTTCGATTTTTTTCTTGTATTATTCTGTTATATTATCTGTGTATGAATTATTATTGCTAAAGACCATTTATTTTGGTTGCTATTGTTCTCTGCCTCACAAATTGATATTGAATTTTGTCGTAATTCACAACAAAATTCACAACTGCTATAATATTCAACATTGATAGTTAGGTGAAACACCAATCACCAGGGTTTAGTGATTGAGAGAAAGTGAAATGAGTTCTCATATTTAAAAAGAGTCTTAAATAGAAAGTCATTAGGTAATATTAGTAAGAGGTATTGGACAATGTATAGTTTTTTGTTGCTTGCAAGACTAATTATACTAAACTACTAATATTTAATTTCTTTTTTTGAGTTGGAAGTCAACCCTCCAACGTAAGTGTTGTAGCATCGAATTGAGTTACCAGTTGTTGTGTTCTTTATTACTTTTTTGTTTCATCATCTTATACAATTTTTGATAAAATTTTAATTTATCTTATCGAACTAGTTGTCTAGAATATCGTGTTAGAAATATTTTTTAAATATAGAAATAGAAGTAATTGAGTGACATAAAAATGGTGAAAATTTGTAAGAAAACTTAAATTTTGTTTTGGTGAATATATTCGTATGCGATATGAAACAAAAATATAAAAAGATATAAAAATTGTGATTTGTTTTGTTAGATGAGTTGTGTGATGTGCTTAAAATTGATTTAGCTATCTTGAAGAGCAGATTCGTAGAACATTCGTGTAATGTTGTGTGACAGCTGTTTGTTTGTTTAATTGATTATTACATTTTTCACTCATCACTTAATCAAACTATTCTTTATTTTTCTAATCTTCAAACCCAACCCCACCAAACCAAATTAAAAAAAAAAAAAACATAAATAATAATAACCAACTAATTAAATTTCTCTTTCATTTCATTTGATATATCTTTGAGACAGACAGAGAAAAGACACAGATCTATCAGATTTAACACCGTCTTCAACAACACTATCTTCATTCATTCATTCCTCACATCAATCAATTCTTCAGATTCATTCAGAGTTCTCAACAAGATGCATGCAAAGACTGACTCTGAGGTTACTAGCCTTGACGCATCTTCCACCACAAGATCCCCTCGTCGACAAGCATACTATGTTCAAAGTCCATCTCACGATGGTGAAAAAACTACTACTTCCTTCCACTCAACTCCTGTCATCAGTCCAATGGGTTCTCCACCTCATTCCCACTCTTCCTCCAGCCGTTTCTCCGGTTCCCGCAAAATCAACAACAACCACCGCAACACCAAACCTTGGAAAGACATCGATGTCATTGAAGAAGAAGGTCTGCTTCAAAACCAAGATCATGACCGTTCTCTCTCTCGTCGTTACTATTTCCTTGCTTTTATTCTTGGCTTTTTTCTCTTGTTCACTCTTTTCTCTCTTATACTCTGGGGTGCTAGTAGACCCATGAAACCCCATGTCGTAATTAAGGTGAACTTTCCGTTTTTATTCTTTTTATAAGATCTTGTACTTGTCATCTCAAATGGGTATTCATCCATTTTTTATTTTCTGTTTTGCAGAGTATAAAATTCGATCATGTTAGAGTTCAAGCTGGTTCTGATGCAACCGGTGTGGCTACTGATATGATCACGGTGAATTCAACCGTGAGATTCACTTATCGGAACAAAGGCACATTCTTTGGTGTTCATGTTTCGTCCACGCCTTTAGATCTATCCTATTCAGATATCGTAATTGGCACCGGCAATGTAAGTATCTAGCAGCAATGTTTTAGAATTCTCTTTGACTATTAGTCAACACATCTGTGACGGTTGGATCTCTAGATTTCGATGCAGTAATCTTGATCCAACAGATACAGATGTTTGGAAGACTTAAATTAATGAAATTGTTGACCATAAGCAATTCATGTTCAATGCACTTTAAGCAATACGAGAGTGTGTCTGATGTTTGACACATGTCAAAAATATTATCAAAATTGCTAACATTAAGCAATCTAGATTCACTTCGACATGATGAGTCAACAATTGAAAGCAAGCGGCACATTAGTGGCAATTGAATTAAGATCGAGCTATCTAAATTTTGATGCATTGATCTTAGGCCAACTGACACTAATGTGTTGAAGCCCGATTCAATAAGAGGCATGATGGTGTTTGATACATGTCAGAACTACAACACACCACTACACCAGCCGATATTAATGAAATAGACAATCTAGAGTATTTCACATGTCAAAGTCGCAGACACTAGATACGGTATTAATGAAGTAGGAAATCTAGATTTGATACTTTGATGGGCGAGTGTGTGTATGATGTTCGACACATGTCAGTGTCGTGTCATGTGTGATGTTGGTGCGGTCACCTTAATTTCATAATTTGGCATTAATTACTGAAAATTGTGTTATGAATCTTTTTCTTTGGATTTGGAATTGTTATTTTTTGCAGATGAAGAAATTCTATCAATCAAGGAGAAGTCAAAGACTAGTGAGTGTATCAGTGATGGGAAGCAAGGTGCCATTGTATGGAAGTGGTGCTAGTCTAAGTAGCACAACAGGCATGCCAAGTACACCAGTGCCATTGAAATTGAGCTTTGAGATTAGATCAAGAGCTTATGTGCTTGGAAAATTGGTGAAACCAAAATACTACAAAAAGGTTCAATGTTCTGTCACATTTGATCCCAAGAAAATCAACGTTTCTGTTCCTCTCAAGAAGAATTCTTGCACCTATGATTGATTGAGTAATAAAAAAGTGATTAATTGGTTAAGAGATGGAAAAACGCGTTTTGTAGTTATAGAAACATAAAGACATGTTTGGATTCGGTGGAAACTTGTGATCAGCATTACTTCTTTTTTTTTTAATTTTTTAATTTTGTCCCATCATGTGATAATAAGGTTAAAGTGTCCTTAATGTATTATTGTATTCATTATGAATGTTGTAATTTTATTATTTTAGGTAATTATTATAGACGAAAAAGTTGAATTATTCTTTGATTACTTTGTGGTTTTAGATTTATATATTCTAAGCTCCATATGGGTGAAGTCACCAATTGTAAGATGGCCAGCTTTGTTCCACACACTATGCCAGTTTTATACATGATCTATTATATATTATATAAAAATAAAAAAACATAATTTTCTATAAAGTCAATGCATGATATCTCTATCTTCTTTTTTTCTTTTTCATTTTCTATAAAGTCGTGTTTTTCATTTTTATCTTTTTGGAGAAATTTTCATAATTTAAGAACAAAATTAACTTGAATTAGTGAAGAGGTTTGAATTTAGTTTCTTTGGAAAAGCATGTCCAGATTTTCTTTAGGAATGAGTGTCGGTCGGTCTGTCTTTCATTAGTTATTGCATTGCTTACCATTTAAGTTTTCTATGAGCTAAATGTTTTGTGAATTGAAAAATAAACTTTACACTCATTAAGTGTCACTTTTGATTCCATTTTTTAATCTATGCTTATGCCTTAATAATTACTTTTTTAAAAGAAAATAATAATAATATTAATAAAAGAAAGATGAGTACAAACAATATACAAATGAGGAGACAAGTGGTACAAGATGTACTAAAAATTATAAAATCGAACTGAAAAAAATTAGAGGAAAGAGCTATAAAGCCAAAAAAAAAAAAAAACTACCACAATCTAGCCCTAAGTTAGCAGGACACTACCTCCGGATCAAAAGCCACCAGGGAAGAAAGAACAAAAACATAACACTTTTCAGCTAACCATAGATCTCGATTCGTAAAGGTTGCAAGAGTTTTCAGATGATTTATGCAAAAAATCATTCTCAAACAAAAAAAAAACAATTTTCCTCCATTTCTTTCATGCTTGATAAAGTGTCATAAAAGAAAATCTCATTACGGGTCATCTAAATAGTCCAAATTACAGCATGGAAAACCATAGAAAGAGCCATAGACTTTTGCCTACCACCTAAATAAGGAAACTCTCAAAGAGAAACTCAAGGTCCCTAGGAAAAATTAGCTGTCACCTCAACCATGTAAAAATCTTATACCAGACACTACTAATTAAGTCAGAAGTGACAAACAAGTGAGAAACTGTCTCGACGAAACAACAGCAAAATGGGCACAAGGCATGACCAGGATCCACAATCACCCTTCTCATGAATAAATTCTCTCTAAAGGGGAACTTACCAAGGAGAAGTTTCAAAGAGAAAAAAAATCACCTTAGAAGGTGTCCAGCTACTCCAAATGTGGGGTAAAGACAAACTATTAGAGAATGAGGTATTACAGAAGAAAAAAAAAATCAAAATATAGTGATACTTATAAGACAACGAGAAGACGTCGTCCCTGGAAAACTTCCAAAACCTCCTATCTCTTTCCAAGAAAAAACTATGTCCTCAAATGACTGAAAAGAATTCTACAACAACAGGTTCCTCGTGGACAAAGAAAGACATTTTCCATCTAAAATCTCAAACGCAATTGCTTTTACCCACAAACTCATTTCTTCCACACTCCCCTCAAGATAATCAGCTATCAAGAACAACCTAGCAAACTTATATTTAAGGGGTATATTCTCGACCCACGTGTCATTCCAAAACGACGTGTCATACCCCGATCCCTTGTTCATAGAAATATCATCCACAAACCAGTAAGAAGAATCTACCTGTTTAGATTCTAAAAGAGAATCTCCTTTCCACTAGGTATAGGAATTACAGAAGTTAATGCTTCTCCAACCCCTAAGGGAAGAGACAATATAGGCACTAAAACAAGTAACAAAGATACATATCCAAATACCAGAGATAAGATGTAACACCCTAAAACCTCGACTCATAATTACAAGTATAAAATTCATATTTTAGAATGCTACTCAAACACAACATGCACATACTCTAAATATTTTCAATTCTCACAGCGAAACTTAAATAAATAACATAACCTCAATTATCTCATTAAATTGAAAATACTTAATCAAAATAACATAATCCAGTGATTTACTCAAAACAAATAACATGTCTCGTTCCCGATATTACAAATCAAAGCATATAAACCAACTAAATAGTGATAAACGGTAAAGTAAACGAAAAAAATCTCCAAGGCCATCTTCCAACTAACAAAAACACTTACTCCTCCTGAGTATTAGTACGATAATGTATAAAGCAACACAAAATAAACAAGAAAGACGGTGAGAATACACTCAAATATATTAACGGTGTAAAAGAATTCAAGGGTAGTTTAAATCACACAATTATAAACATACACATTCAATTACACGACAACAGAATAATTCAATTCATATAACCTATATATATGCATTGTAACTCACAACTTGACTCTATACATGTGGTACCAATTTGGACATCAGAGATTTGATACTAATCTCGTCCACTCAATAATAGTTCATCATTCAAATCGAATCCCCACTTCTGAACCCCAGACTATCACAGGTCCCCACTTCTGAATCCATGACTCGTCTCTTTCAACACACCGACACAATATGATGCATGCCATACGATAATGCAACGAAAACAATTATGGTTCCACTTCAAACCATAATCAACAATGAAATACAACATTCAACCGTAGTTCCCACTTTTGAACTACACACATCAACATAACACATACAACTACATTCATAACACATAATATATTCGCAACACAATAGGTCATAAACATAAGTATAATTCACCACTCATAATTATACAATTAGTTACAACACTGCACATAATTATACATGCAATTCTCAAAAATCATTCATGCATTGGCATCAGCCCCAACATCTTTCCTTATGAGGTATTCATCAATTCAATCAATCCCAACAATTAAAAGTTCTTTCATTATTATTAGCCATCGCATGATATTACACATTAAGGAAAGAATTTATTCACACCCTTAAAGACACATTTATTGTCTTAGGGAATCACCATGAGATATTGCTATGTGTTAGCTTTCCAACGCTTCAAACCACGCCCCAAACGAATTCACGAAACTCAAATTACGATAAAAAAATATATTTGCATATAGTTTTTCTGGTTATGACGGGTGAGCCATCACAAAGCTGACGACCGTCAGCTTGCTGGACGCAATGATGGGAAACTCGTCACAAGTAGAACACATAATAATTATATAACAATTATACATCAACCAACACAAATTATAAAAACCCAACATCAAATAATCATCAATCAATCATGGAATTAAGGTTATGTTCATAGCACCAAAATACATCAATGGAAACAACCGATTTCAGAATTCATATCAACAATTTATGCATAATATTCAGCATGTAAACGAGCACAAATTTACACATTTAACATGGTAATTACCACGGACTTCACATAATTAACATCAAACTCATAAAAACACAACAATGATGAATAAAACCTAGAGAAGAGTGATGATCTCTCTCTACCCTTCATAAAATACACCTATATTAGAGTAGTCCCCCCACCCTACCTAAATTTCCAGCAATTCTCAAGCTCTAGCTATGGTGATTTTCTCCTCCCTCAAACATTTTTCTTTTCTTCACACTTTGCCTCATTTTCCAACTTTTGAAACTTTTACGTATCGATGAAACTTGTTCCCCTCTCCCTTTACTATTTATTTTGACCTAAATTATAATAAAGCCACTTTCACACTATTACCCCTCAACTCACCTCTACTTCCACCACTTTTCCTAAATAAACTAATTAAAATTATAACAATTTCCAAACACCACATAACACTTATTATCACCAATTGAATGATTAAAAACATTTTAAATCACTTGAATAATTAAATAAAAGCAAAAAAAATCAATTAATTAAATTCGGGGTGTTACAACTCTCTACCACTTATAGAATTTACATCCTAAAAAATTATGTGAACGAAACACCTTTGGATAAGACTCCCTCATCCAAATCTCCAACTCCCGCGTCATTCTCCCTCTAGCAGATCCTCCCCATACGAGATTCACCTAGACGATCTCTTTACCCCTCAAGTGTTTCACTTCTCGATCATTGATTCTCAATGGTGATGCATCTATAGTCAAGTTATCCCTCACTTGCACATCATCCGTTTGAATCACATGAGATCGATTTGGAACATAATTCCAAAGTTGATACACGTGAAACACACTATGTTGATGATTCAAAAGAGATGGTGGTAAAGCAACTTTGTAGGCCACTTCTCTTACTCTCTTCAAAATCTGATAAGGACCGATGAAACGTGGTGTGAGCTTTCGAGATTTCAAAGCACGGCCAACATCAGTCACGAGAGGGATTCTCAAGAATACATGATATCCCTCTTGGAACTCAAGTGCTTTTCTCTTCTTATCAAGATAACTCTTCTGTCGACTCTTCGAAGCTTTCATCTTCTCCTCAATCATCTTGATCTTCTCAGTCGTCTGCTGAATGATTTCTGGTCCAAGTACAACATTTTCACCAGAATCATACCAACACAAAGGTGTCTTACACCTTCTACCATACAAAGCTTTAAATGATGTAATTCCAATACTAGAATGAAAATTGTTGTAAGTAAACTCGATCAATGACAAGTAACTATCCTAGTTACCTTCTTGCTCTAACACGCAAGTGTCATACCCTAAATTTGTCCTACCCTCTCAATTCTTTGTACCAAGTACATATGTGGGTTTAGGATCTTTGGTCCATATGTGAATCGGTGGCAAGTTTAGTGGAGGATGGTCGAGTTGAAAGAATCATGGCTTATATCAGTTCTTGGTGAAAGAGTGACAGAATGTGGAGTGTGTTACATCAAATTCCCAGGTTGTTTCAAATC